GTTTACAGTTCTGTTTCAAATTGGTGTTGAGAGATGTATCCATAGATCTCTTCATTTTGCTCTCAAAGTGCACCAGATTGATGCATTTAACTTCAATATTTAAAAATAAATCTTCCCGGGGGAGCATGCCCCAGGATGTTAGGTCCAGCCCCCACTTATAAAAAATAGCAATTCTTTCCTAACAGAAATCTACTTACATAGTAGGCTACTCTGTTTATGAATGACCATACATTATTTTCTCTCACACACACACACACACACACACACACACACACACACACACACACACACACACACACACACACACACACACACACACAGGCTTACCTGTCTCCATAATGAAGCGACAGACTCGAAAGTGTTTCTTCATGTCCCTGTCGGTCTCTGCCTCCCCGCCGGACTGTCTCCGGCCCGCAGCCGGCCACACCGGCCTGTCTCTCAGGACAGCTAAACTAGGAGACGGTCCCTCCATGGCTCATGTGGCCTACCACCACCAAGACTGTCTACGTTGGACAAGACGGAAGCTAGTTATTTTTCCGACAAACCCCTCTGAATTAAGCTGAAGGAAAGCTCAGTCACTGGCTGGATGTAACAGGGGGTGGTATGTGTTCCTTATTTTTTTTAAAACACGTTTTCAGGACGTTTTATCTAGCTGCTGGCTAATGTTAGGCTAGCTAGGCTACATCCAGCAAGTACGCCACCGGAAGATAAACAGCTGGACGTCCGGTCGACGTTCCAAAATAAAAAGTTTCTAAAATCAGTTATTATATTTGTATGTAAACATGTTTTAAAGCAAAAACATAGGAAATGAAGGTGCTACATATTTCAATGTACATTCATCACAATAGGACACGTAACAATAATGCAAATAAAAAACGGCTCAAATTGACATATTTGACAGTAGGCCTACACACATTGATTCACTTATTATTTCCCTAAGAGGTCATATGTAAACAGTTTTTCCGTGCGTATACATGATGCGTCCCCTGAGTAGATATGTATTTTCCCATTAAGCCTACTTCGGATTTCCTGTCTGGAAAGCAAAGGTCAGTTCGATTGCGTTGCGATGCAACGAGTCAACAAAACAAATACGGAAGCTCTTACAGATGCAGACATGTTCAGTTACTCAGCTAAGCAGGTAACCTAAATATTTGCATTCTGGGTGATGGTAGTTGGAAAAATTACATATTCTGCTGTAATGTTTTACTGATACATTGTGACACTTTCCCCCCTCAGTATGACAGTGCCTTCAAGCCGCAGAGGCTGCAGAACTGGGGGGAGACAACTAAAGACTTCAAAAAGGTAAATGTCATGTCAGCAGTAGGCTATTCTTCTTTTTTTCTGGCAATTTTAAGAGTCGAATTGCCTGAAAAGTTGATGAATGACTTCAACTGTGTGTGTGTGTGTGTGTGTGTGTGTGTGTGTGTGTGTGTGTGTGTGTGTGTGTGTGTGTGTGTGTGTGTGTGTCGTAGT